CTGCACGTAAAAGTGTGTTGACGCTATCTTCCCTGACAAGTGCTGACTTTGCAAAGTACAAGTGCTTAGCTGCCTACACAAACATTGGGACACTCATTTCTGCTGAAAAGCTAGTGGTCGTTACAGGTTAGTTTTATTTTCTTGGTATAGTTTTACCTCTTCTCATTTCCAATATATTCGAACTTGTTATCTCAAACCCTGGGGTTGCTAAGCACTTTATCATTTACAGTGGATAACTGTATATTGTATTACATAAATACATATAGGCAATAACTTAATACCGTTGATAGAGATATAGCCGTCTTCTATCACAAATATCCTAATAGTGTCGTGTTTGTAACTCACTTATATTATAGACTGGATAACAGTGAACAAGGCTGAAAATATAGACTACGACCTGGAGAGAACAGCTATTCAGATAAAGACAGAGAGTTTAAGCAACGGAGATGAAGTAAAAGTGTTATTTTGGGAAGAGGACGGAGTAGAGAGTGCAGGACGTGTTCACCTCACGTCGTCCCAATATTTAATGGTCACGTGTATTGATGTCCCGTCTGATTTCCTTACAGTCCTTCCGAATGTCCACTCCAAGGTATGGACCATCACAAAGCTCCTAGGACCTAGGATAGTGGTACATTGTAACGAGGTGTTAGTAGCGGATATCACCATGTCAGACCTGACATGTGATACAGAAGATTGGAGAGATGACTGGAGTAAAGATGTGGAGAAGATAAGCTTTTATTCCTCGGACGCCACCTCCCTTTTCTACAGACCTAAAGCAAAAGGTAAAGAGGGAAATAATGTTCAACTTTAATCACTTTTTAATATAGTACTCCGGTTATCTCACTCCCAGCAATTAGTAGAAATGGTTGTGGTTTATTCTCACGGTAGCAGACCACGTGACAGCCGTGTACAATGTACACAGGCCACGTGACAGCCGTGTACAATGTACACAGGCCACGTGACAGCCGTGTACAATGTACACAGGCCACGTGACAGCCGTGTACAATGTACACAGACCACGTGACAGCCGTGTACAATGTACACAGACCACGTGGGAACCACGTGACAGCTGTGTACAACAGTTCACAGCCCTCCCCGCTAGACATCCAGTTCACAAAAGTGTGCCTATTATTTCGGTAGCTCACAATTAGGTTTTGTAGTACTTGGTAAGTGTTACAGTTGACTATTGTGCACTCTTCAGGCGACCAACTGCTGATGTTTCTTAATAACATTGCTCGTTAAAAACCTTTCATAAAGCAGTTCACTATTAATAAATATTGAACGTTGACATTGAGCTTGAAGATGTGATAACAAACCAATTAAAAACATAACTTAATTCATAACGGTTTCAGTGCAATGTGACGGTCTACAGGTGGATAATGCCTTCGTTTTTCCAAGTGGACCGGTCGATGAACACTCAGATGTCAAGGTCACGTGCATCAAGCCCAACTACTATGTTATAATGGTCACGTGTCAGATTGGCGGGACCTGGCCAGCAATACCTAAATGTCAAAGATTCGGTATATATAAATGCATTCATTGAAGATATATTGTTATTAAGTATATTATATACTTAATAACAGTTTAACTTCAATGATTTTTATAACTTTTCTCATAACTCAGTAAAATGCAGTAACTAATTACAATGCTCACCATTACATACAGATACTAAAACAAACAATATATTAATTGACTTTTACAACAACCGACTATGAGTAGCTAGACTTGCAAGTGGAACATTGCGTTAATTTTAGGCAAAATTAACGTAATGTTACACTTACAAAAGTATCTTGATACTTTTGAAATTGTTTTTTTTAATTAGATGATTATTATCTTTTTTTAAATGATTATTATCTTATTATCTATACCTAAATTTAAACCTACTTCCTTTATAGTTAACTTATACTGAGTTTTGAAAACAAGCGGTATTGCTTTCAAAATGTTTTGCATACCACAAAAGGATTAATGAATAAATATGACATTCCAGGACAATCAGACAACAGAAATCATAGCATAAATATACATTATACACGATATCAATGCTGTTAGATACGTAGCGTTTTCAGAAAACGTACGCGTACGCAAACATATTTGTCGCCAAAAAGTCACGTACTTTAGTTTAAACGTGGTCGGCTATCTAACGCGAAATTCATCGGGCGTTGTTAGAACCGATTACTAAATCTCTGAGAGCCTTAAAATTACGTGGCTTTCAAGCTGTTTCAATCCGCGCGCGTATATCGGACAAATGTTACCTAAAAGGGCAGATATCATACCACAGATATAGATTTCAAGTATTCATGATGAAATAACTAGAGTATAAATTGTCGACCACAGCTTCCACATTGGGCTCATATTCAATGTAGAATAACGGCGTTTTACCTAGTAATTGACAACTCCCCCAAAACCAAGAGAGGGTCCTTTGTTAGATCCATCTAATTAGTAAACTGACGATAATTGACAATATTCCTACTAAGACGAAGGAGACACAGATATTATCCACATACAATAGCAGCTCCACGCCCCTTAACTTATATATATTATCTACAAATTATAACTACGTGGTTTTAAGGAATTTTAAACACCGCAAAGCCAGATATTTCTAATTCTTCGCACAACTGATAGTTTTACAGTATACATGACTTTGGCTTTTTTCATATTATACCCGAAACACTAGTTCGCTCAGCTATGATTTTGTGTAACGTAGAGCGCTGAGCAGCTCCTTATATTAAATATGTACATATTGTAATGAATCTACTCATGATGCGTGACTCCCAGTCTCTCTTAAAGTTAGAGCCCCATTTATATGACCAAATTATTCTCGCTCTCAGACCTCAGTAATCGTCGATTAACCTAGCCTTATGATCCAGTGAACAATGCATTATCCAACAGCTAGAGAAAGAAGCCTTGGTTACCCGAACATTATCCACACTATCTGGCCTCGTAAACCAAAGAGCCGGGATTCTCATCTCAGCTACAGTTTAAAAAGCTACTAGAACCATATGTTTGACTCATTAGTCTGCGCGCCTGGTGGACTAGGTCTACCTTTAGTAGTCCATAGAGCAGCTCTCTCTCTCTCGCTGAATAGCACGGGTTAGTACGGGTTGAGCATAATGCCATACAGACGTATTAAAGAGCACCCCTTACACACTCTGACTCTCAGTAACAATAAGATCTAACCTGGGCGTGTTGAGCCATTAGTCCCTTTTCCTCCACGTGACAACCACGTGATACAAGGTTAGAAAGAGGGAGCATGCTCTCTTTGTAGCCACAATACAAGCCAACGGTTTACCTTCGTTTGTGACACTGCTTACAATTTTAAAGCTATCCAAAGTTAGATAACCACCTCCGGAGTAGTCGACTATCACGTTCCAGACTGGGATCAAGATGGTTATCTTCCTCACAGCCCTCCTCCTATTCTTCGCTGGAGTTGCTGCTACTGATGATGATGGTACGTACACAGTAGTTACTAGTTATAATATCGTATTCAACAGTTACTAGTTAGAATATCGTATTCAACAGTTACTAGTTAGCATATCGTATTCAACAGTTACTAGTTAGAATATCGTATTCAACAGTTACTAGTTAGAATATCGTATTCAACAGTTACTAGTTAGAATATCGTATTCAACAGTTACTAGTTAGAATATCGTATTCAACAGTTACTAGTTACTAGTTGTTTCTGATTTCATTATAATGGTTAGAGCTTAAATTTGCCGTAGATCGTAAACAATTTTCCGTTACACCGCCAAGAAAACCATAGCGATAACTGTAACTGTTCTGCTTTTGTGGTCTTTAAACTCCAATCACAACTTCAGGCTGGATACCAGTAACTAAAGGTGATATAGTAAACTTCAACTGGGAAAGTGAAGATCTTCAAATAAAGACGAACAACGCAGACGATCTGAAAGTGCAGTTCTACAAAATAGGTGATACTACGGATACTACGGTAGGAAAAATCTTCATTCAAGAACTCGAATCGTCCGCAGAACACAACATCTACAACTGCTTTGGATATAAGAGTCTCAATGTCAAGGAGCCGATTGATGGTGAAATTGTGTGGACCTTCTCGAAGACGCAATCTGAATCAGCCGGACCAAGGATAAAAGTGCAGTATAACGAGAAGCCACTAATAGACATCACGATATCGGAGAGTACGTGTACCGCGGAAAACGCGAACTACTGGGGATCATGGACTGGTGTTGTGTCAAAGATAAAGATCATCACAGACGATGCAGAATTCTACAGATCTAAACCAGGTAATATGCTGACGTGTACCATTGTCAAAACCAAGAATGACTTATGGTGGTACAAGTGTACATGTATATCATTGAAAAACTCCTAAAAATACTAAAAGCGATGAACTTTACAACTTGTCATAAAAAGTAAAACCTCATAAATCAAAAAATCTCATAAATTACTGTTGGGAATTTTTTGGGCTACAAGGGTTATGCTTTAATGGTGCCCGGGCTAGGAAGGTCTTGATTCTACGTTTATCTGACTCAACTAATCAAATGTTTATAACACACTATTTCCAGTGCAATGTAACGCTCTGACGGTGGAAAACGCCCTTGTCTCCCCAAGTGGACCTGTTCAAGTAAACACAGTTGTCAAGGTAACGTGCATGTCCGACCATTTGCATTACGTCATACCGGTCACGTGCGTAGCGGAGGAGACGTGGTCAACTGAACCGTCATGTCAGGATATGGGTACGATAGTTTTTATTTTAGGGAACTAGCTATAGTTTATCATTAACAATTGGAATCTTTTTCGATGAACATACTTTTTATATATTATACTACAAGCATCCAAACCTAGCCCTAATATTTATTCGGTCACTTATATATAGTCAAGTATATTCTCTAGAAAATTGTCAACTCACAATTAATAGATTTCAGGAAGTATTCGAGACGTAAAGCTAAGGCTATTTATGTACAGTGAGCATAAACTGTTAGAAGTAACGGTTTACTTTCAATGGAGGCGGGAAATGGGGAAATATGGCATAACAAATTGCGGGGACAATAAATTTGGTTGATACAAAACTTTGATGCAAAACCTTTTGGTTTCCAAAACTTTGCAAATTTTAAAACACAGGAGTCAAATTTAAAAAAAAGTTTTTCAACGATACGTTTTAGCAGCTGTGGATCATAATAGAAAATATTATGTCAAAATTTGAATTATTTATGCTTTACCTAGACTTAATGGGAAATTAACTAAGTTGACGAATAATTCAGTCACTATGCGGTTCCCAAGCCGGTTGCATTTGCAGTTTTGAGTTCGATCCAGGGCAAGGTTACCAAAATTACCTCATTTTCCCGCCTCCATAAAACCCATTTTATTGATTCAAGAAAAGGGAAGTAGTAGGGCTGCTTCTCTTTTCATTGTGATCAATAACTTTGTTGTAAAGTAGCACTTACTTCAAAGTAACAACTTACAGTCACAGTATCACTTCCTAGCATCATTGTTAAACCGTAACTACGCTGAGTAGGACTACAGGTATGTCATCTATTTCAAATTTACTTTATATTCACAATATTCGTATTTAATTTGACAGTTAATATCAGCATACAGTTGCATTAGAAATCCTCAACATTGGTGAATGGGCCGATTATTGCTGTTGTTAATCCAAGCAAAGATACGGTATGTTTTGTATTATGAGATATTAACCTACAGGTGTATACTGTATCAAGATAGGACGCTCTGCGATCTAGAACACCCCACACAAGCTAGAAAAGAAATGTATATTTCTAAAGAGATGAAAGGAAGATCTAGTACCTACCGACCTCAGGTCAATATTAATATTTCAGTACATCTTTATTAATATTTGACATTTCAGAACTCATTTGACACTATCATAATAATATGTTCTCTAATCTTTCCCACAATTTTGTCTAAGTATGATAGTTTTAGTTATGTAAAATTGTTTGTTAATAAATAATTTTGATACATTTTTGGATTTAGATTAATTCGATGTAATGGGTCCAAGTAATTGCGGACATAGTTCACTATGTGTTTACCGTGTTTGGGTGCCCATCATATTTTACAGATGGGGGCGATATTTTGAACGATTCTATTTTATATTCATTTATTGCTGTACAAAATTTGAAAAGTATTTAATTTGAAAAAACCTTTCTCTTTCAGATCTGCACTGATCAGTTTTAGCACGTGACACGCTCTCCTTCTCAGCACGTGACACGCTCTCCTTCTCAGCACGTGACACGCTCTCCTTCTCAGCACGTGACACGCTCTCCTTTTCAGCACGTGACACGCTCTCCTTCTCAGCACGTGACACGCTCTCCTTCTCAGCACGTGACAAGCTCCCACTCTCAGCACGTGACACGCTCTCCTTCTCAGCACGTGACACGCTCTCCTTCTCAGCACGTGACACGCTCTCCTTCTCAGCACGTGACACGCTCTCCTTCTCAGCACGTGATACGCTCTCCTTCTCAGCACGTGACACGCTCTCCTTCTCAGCACGTGACACGTGAACAATTCTTCTCGTTAAAAACAAAAACAGTTTTTGGTCAAATCGGACGTTAAGATTTGAAAAAGTAAAGTATTATTTCTATGAGCATATTTATTTAATGAATGCATTGAACTTATCTCTGTTCGTACAGATGATTTTTAGCACGAGGGTTTTTAGCACGAGGGTTTATTTATAACACGAGGGTTAGTTTTTTATAATAATAATATAATGGTGACAAATCAACTTTCACAGTTTTATAAATCTTGATATCGGCGAGAACGCTATAGTATTAGTAGCATAGTTGTTAATTTTTAGTTGTCCCATCTTTAGTTGTAAAGATGGGAATGCGTGTAAAATATGATTTTCTAAAATAATGAATGATTTTTCTTAAGTACTACTGGTTATATAATTTGTTGTACAAAATCCAATACAATGCAGTTTCTTTTGTCTTTGCAAAAAAATATAAATCATTATCTACAAAGTAACAAGTATGAAACACATGCCATAAGCCTGACCGTTTACAAGTAACCTATGTTTTATCAAAGAAAAAAACTGGACATCTAATAATTTGGTTTAATATAAGCGATTAAGCACCAAACAAAGAAGATCACTTACAAGTAGCTGAGAGAGGAGACACTGTCACCACATTTCATGTAGGTCACGTGATCGTCACGGAGAGATCCCTTAGTTCCGTTAGTAAGCAAGTAACTAGTGTAACCTGGGGTACTGGTACATCTGAAACATAAAGAGATATTAATTAATATGCCCGGTAGAGTAAGATATGAGATAACCACGTTCCCGCAACCTTGCAAATAGAACCAGTGACCAATACAACAATTTTAGAGTACTAACAATTATATTAGAGTATAGTATTAACAGTGACCACTACAACAATGTTAGAGTACCAACAGTGACCACTACAATAATGTGTACCAACAGTGACCACTACAATAATAAGTACTAACATGTTGGCAACCCAGACGACTCGTTTAGAAGAGATGTTATCCTCAGGAGCAGATACAGGGAACCTCACCAACATTAGTAGCACGTTCTGAAGGTGTTTCAGGTCCTCATCAGCTGCTGTTGCACTCTGGTCACTGGCCTCTGTTGGTCTCCTGGGCAGAGTAGAGGAAGTTCTTTATGTTATTTCTTTTTTGTTGTTAATGTTACAATTTTATTTATAGATTCCCTACTGTTACTTACTGTAAAAGCACTTTTAAAAACGTTGTATAACTAATATATTAAAGAGAGAATAATTTCGCTGTTATATTTCGTGATTTTAGGCTTCTATATCTCCCCATGCAATCCATTTCAAGCAATGTCCATTTTAAACATGACACAGGATGTTGGAATTTGCTAGAAAGATGTTGGGATTTGCTAGAAAGATGTTGGGACTTGCTAGAAAGATGTTGGGATTTGCTCGAAAGATGTTGAGATTTCTCTAAAGATGTTGGGATTTTTCAGATGCCCTCACCGCACGACTAAGGCCCATTGTCCATGCTTTGCTTATGGTAAGCCTGGCACCACGTGGTTTTGCAGACAGCACATCACTATTTAATAAAGAAGGCATACCTCAGGAAAACCTCCAGACTATCATCATGTTGAAGGGTTCTGGAGAAGGTATCCTGACCAGGTTTCAGTTGAGTACTTGATGTTGTGTTGGTTACACTCCTGATGTCGTCTGGTCTGGGGTATTGTGAGGGTTATATTAGTAGAAATCGTTGGAATGTATAAATATGACACTGATATATAATAGAATAAAAATGGGAAAAGGAAAAGAAAATGATCACAAAGGGATCACAAACCATGCATTTTAATGTTTTGTCCAGATAGCGACAGATAAAACTTCCCAGCACTAACCTGATGAGCAGCGCCACAGATAACTTGTTGAGAATGTCAGGGTAACCCCCGGCCAGCTCACACCGGCTGATAAACACGGTAGACCCTCTCAACTTGACCTTCACTGTATCGTCCCAGGGGTTTGGGAGAGGGGTCATGTCCCGCAGAGCTGGGGACCGCTTGGTTAGAGTCAATGGTCTCTTGGCTTTTCTGGTTGGGGATTCTTCAGATGTTAGGGTGGTGATATTTGTGGGGGGAACTATCTGCTTCCTTCTCCGCAATGAAGGTGATTTAATGAGCTTTATATTATCTGGTATGGTTCCAGTTTTGAGACCTAGAGAGTTTTTACCCTTCGGATTGCTTTCTGAAGAGGTTTCTGTTTCGATGCATTTCTTCTCAGAACCACTATGTTTCATAATGCTGCTGTCAGATGTTGTATTTCTGTCCGCCTCAAATGGTTGGTGAGCAACTGTCCACTTGCGACCACTCCTTGTCATTCTCTCTTCAACATTTAAACCGTTTGCTTTTTCAGATGAAGATACCACGGAGGTTTCAGGGACGACAGAAGGTATACTAGAGTTGGGAGGGACGATATTCTGCTCTCTGATAGGAACTGTACCAGTGGCCTTCATTATTTCGTTCACTTGAGTTCTGGTTAATTTAGGTGTACTTTCAAATTCAGAAACTTTCAAGTCCAAGTTACTTTGGTTATGAACTGTAGGTTGGTTGCTTTTAGTATTATCCTTGATATTATATTTGGATCTTGTTCTTACGCTGGGAAAGTCAGAGAATGTAATTTTCTCCGGACACTCCTGGGAACTCACACCCACAGTGTTAGAATCAGATGAGGTATTTTGGTCCACATTAGTTTGCGTTTTATTCTGAGGATTTCTGCTAACAATAAGTTTATTGAGTTTGGTTGATAAGTTATATGCAAGGGAGTTTCTATTCCTTAGTGATGGCCAGCCATCAAATTATAACTTTTAAACAGGTTTTTTGCTTCTGCAACAAGTTGATCATTTGTATTAAAAACAGTTGTCCAGATAAAAGCATATTTCTCTGATCACTCGTCCTGTTAGGCGAACCACAGGGTTCGTCTCCACTTCCATTTTCCTTGGATAGTAAAGCATGTTTATCAGTTACTACTGGTATGGAAGAAACCTTGATCCGTTGGGATCTCCGGACGCTCTCGTTCTGGTCAGAGAACAAAGCGTTGTTCAACTCCGGAGTATAATCTGGATCATCAGGTGGAGTAATGGTGTTGTTTGTAGAATCCACCATGGGAGACACTTCTTCGGTCGTCTCAGCTACCGTGCCATTACTATTTGATTGAGGTAAGGAAACATCCCCCTTAACGGTCAGCTGGTTATTGTCAGGAGTGGTTGAATCCAGTTCTTCTCTTACAATGTCTGCTGGAGTGTCAGTGACATTAATATTGATATTCTGCAGCGAATCCGGACTTTTACTGCCGGATACTCGGCTTAGCTTCTCTGATGTACAAGGAAGAGGTGGATAATGTGACAGGGCAGGTGGAACTGCTTGAGATGAAGTAGTGGTGGGATGGACGGAATCAGGCAGGGAAGCTGCAGATGGTTCCGAAGAGTATCTGAAAGGAGCTGCAGCAGCAGTGGGGGAAAGATGCAATCGAAGGCCAGTCTTATAAGCCGCTTCAGAAAGAACTGGGACAGTATTACTAGAAGTAGCATCTCCCGGAGTGATGAAGATAGGGCTAGCAACAGGATCTATTTTGGGAGCTGTCGAAGAAGTTGGAGAGTTCAGAAACTTGGGGCTATTGAGGACGCTCTGTAAGTCTGAAAGTGTGTTACACTTGACAAATTGAGAGTAAGGAACTGGTACTCTCTTGTGTACCGGAACCTTCATTGTAGCGGGTCTACTCTTATCTACTACCATCTGTGAAAACGAGGACACTGTTTTTACAGAGACAGGTTTTTTGCTGTGAAGAGATACGGAAATCTTCCCTCCCACCACCACACCATTGAATTTAGAAAGGCGAGGAGACAGGAAGGTTGATATCGGAATAGCAACCTTCCTAGTTGGGGTCTGTGTCGTGCTGGGTTGCGGAGAGTGTAGCCGGGTCAATGAGGCCAATCCTGATATTGGTAGATTGCTTATGGAAGGCTGTGTTAAGGGTGGAGCTGAAGGTATAGCGGAACTTGAGATAGGTGTGGAGATAGCTGGGGACGGAGTAGTATTGGTTGGACTTGATCTTGCCTTGACTGGGCTGACGTCGGGAAAAGGAAATATTCCAGGAACCTGATCTGGGTGAGACGTATGCTGAGAAGAGACTGGAAGAGGGATCTCTCCACTGGGATAATTGGGCACGTGTCCTGAGTCAGGGGTTACCGTTCGAGAGTTTATGGCAGAAGAGGATGTGACTGGGACGCAGACTTGTCCTCTGGAAACAGAGCTAGGTTTGCTAACAGAGGTTGAAGACCTACTTTGAGGTTTTACGGCTAGGCCAGGGATATCTCTCTTGCTCTTTGTTGAACCACTGCCCTTCATTGATTTCTGAACTGAATATGAGTGATCTCCTTGAGCATCAGAAGGAGTGTTCGAGGGCAAAACTGTAGCCGATTTGGATGTTTCCTTCGACTTCTGAAGGCGTTTTGGCTTCAGAGGTGTTTGAGACTGCTTACCAGACGGTCGTTCGCGTGGCACAGGTTCGCGAGATGACGATCTCGGTTTTGCAAACGAAACATTCTCAGAACCTCGAGAAGATCTAGATCTTGTCTTAGGACCAGCATTTTCGGGACGCACCTTCAATTTTGTTATATCCTGGCCACTGTCAGATTTGCGAAGTGTCTTTACTCTTATATCCCTCCTCTTCCTCATTTCCTCCTTTTCCAGATATGATCGGTTTCTTTTAGCCCTTATTCTACATTTTAGGTCTGCGACCGAAGCTTTAGGGTATCTCCTTCCTCGCTTTGAGTGTATGTTATTAGAGACACCCTTATCAGACATGCCATCGGAATGTTTCTCAACCCCCTCCCTGGAGTCTCTGGTGAGGTCACGTGTTGAGGTTGATTTGTGAGAGGTCGGTCTAGTGGGACGGGTACAATATTCATAGTGCTGACCACTTGTCCTCTTCCTGCAAATACAAAGTTCTTAGTTGACAATTAAAATGAGAAATGATATCGATTCAAAATCAGTCGCAGCCGCAAAGATTTCGGCTGAGCATTGTAGAAATCGTGGTTCTTGTGGTTTTGGTTTAAAATAAAATGCAATTATCAATCAACTCTAGTTGGGAGGTGAGGCATATTTTGTTTGTCGCCTGACAGAATTTCACCAATCAGCATCCACTATTGACCAATTAAACCCCAGAATAATATGCTTCACCTCTCAACCAGAATCCATATCTGTAAATTGATGAATTAAGCAAGTAACTATTTTAACTAAAAGTAGGCCAATGAATAAATTAATCAAGTTATAAACTTATTAATTTAATAATTAAGTAAAGAGGTACCAGGAGTTGGGAAGGAACTCACTCATTCCTACTTTTTTCCAACATCTCTCACAAGACAGTGTGTTGTAGAAACTGAGGTAAATTTTAATTTGATTATATAATAAATTATAATAATTAGTTAATTCAGAAGTTAAATAGTTAACCATTGTATTGTTGAGAAGCCCCATTAAATTGTGGATACGAGGTAGAAAGATCCTACATTTCTTAAAATAAAGGTAGGCAGTACAAACCAGCAAGTTAATACGTCGATGAGAAGATCTGTGTCATTAGTGTTGAGTAGCTGAACTAGCTGTAAGATCCTTATATCGAACATGTCCAGTTTGTCACGCTTCAGGAAACTTTGGTTGGGTTGTTTACTTCCTGAGACAAACGTTGTGATGATAGAGCCTTTTTAAATGAGTAACTAAGATACAACTAAGATGCAACTAGGATATACAACTAAGATATCACTAAGATACAGCTAAGATACAACTAAGATACAACTAAGATATATAACTAAGATATACAACTAATATACGATACAACTAAGATATCACTGAGGTAAAACCAGATGCAAGCATCATACAAGCTGACAATTTGGTCACTTTATAACCTTTATAGTCACGTTGTACTTTAGTTGAGTTTAGTGAGTGTGACAGGTTACAGTTGTCCGACCAAACGCTACCTCTTTCATTCACAACGTCCCTATTCAGTTTCCCGGCTTCTATCTTGGATTTCAGGATATTCGGCGCCTGACGCAGTCTTCCTGTTTCGTATTCTTCTTGTACTGTCGACTGGAAGATACAATTTGTCAAATCGATATCATACAGCTAACAGCACCTCAAGAGAGTATCCACGATTGAGACATACGAATTTTTCTGCCGAGCTGACTTTAAAAGCTAATTACAAATAAAACCTAAGATCAGAGTCTTACAAATGAGTATTTGATAGCAGCAGTGCATCTCTCCTTGATGTGTCTCCTGAGACTAGCTACAGACAGGGACTTGAACCCACAGGACACAATACCACACTGTCCCAGGCAAGGGTAACAAGACCCCGTACCATTACGTCCCTTCAGAGCCTCCACGTGTTCCGTCTTCAGGAGTGGGATTGTGTGTACCTGTAACGTTATTTATCAACCAGGAGGAGGTTAGGGGGGGGGGGGGGGGGGGGGTTATACTGGAGGGGGGGGGGGGGGGGGAGGATGACGATGGAATTTGAAATTATGGAATTTGAAATTATCTCATCTAATATTATCCTTAAGAAAACACGAATTAAAAAAAACATTGTCCACCTACCCAGCTGCTGCCCCTATATTCGGAAGCCCAACTGAAAAGGAAACAAGAGTCAGAGAGCGTCTCCGCTACACCCCTCTGCAGCCCTGTTGTCTCTGAATCAGTACAGTACCTACAGTGAGGTAACTTCCTGTCTCCGATTAGAGACAGCAGAATAGACTCTATACGGTAAGGCCACGCTTTCTTCTTGATTTGCTCTACCTGTTGAGAAGGGTGGTTGGTACAGTGAGGTTTACCTTCGGAAGTGATCTAATTAAATAGAAAAAAAGGTTTTACATCAGAGGAAGTACCTGAATTTCGCTGACTCAGTATTGTGCTTCTTATCAAATAAAACACATTTAAGTCCCAAATGCTAACCTTTAGATTACGAACTAAATCAATAAATTATGTCATCTTAAACTGAAATGCTAGCCACTAGATATAAGCACGAAGCATTTATCTTACCGTGAGAAGCATGCCAACGTTGATATGATCACAGATACAATTATTCAGAGCTTTTGCAACCTCTGGAACGAAGGGGTCGAATCTTGCCGTCTGAACTTTGGGTGGTGGTTGTTCTGGCATCTCGCCTGAATTTTAGATTTTTATTAAGTTGCCAACCCATAATAACCCTGAAACCAACTTTGTAACATAGCACCATCATAAAGTTCAATTGAAGAGAAAAGTTACCAACCTCGAATTTCTTTTAAAATGCGTCTTATATCGTCTACTATCGTACATGAATTATCAGGAAGAGGAGTAGTATTTAGATCAGTTGTCTCCAAAACAGTAGTATCTATCTCAGTTGTCTCCAGAAGAGACTGGGAGGATTGTTCTTTACTTTCTTTAGTTGGGACATTATTTAGAGTAAAGGAAGTCTCTTTACTGGGAGGACTGAAAGCTGGGCTCATCTTGGCAGGTGTGGTGGTATCAAATATATATGATAGCTGAGCCTTAACATTATCATCTACATTACTGACAGCAAAGGGGCTACTTGTCACAGAGTTCACTTCACTCAAGGGAGGTTTCAGTTTCCTACGTTTTCTAGAGGACATTGCTGGTGTGGGATTCCCTTCATCGTAGAATTCGAAAACGTCTTTACTTTTCTTGGACACACTTTCCCTCTTCAGTAATGTTTTCATCTCCGACGTCACTAATTTATCAGACCCGTTTGCTCCCGACCTTCCTATTCCTAGCTCAGTAAGTTTAGCCGATGCTGTCATTTCGATATTAAAACTATCATCGTGAATATCAATATTTCTCTGGAATTTATTTAACAAGGACTCAGACATTAATCTCCGGTTTAAATTCTTCAAAACAGGGAGATCAAGAGCGCTTGATGAATATACTGGTGAATTATAAACAATCACCCTATTATCTGGTAATTGTGCGGAAATCGCTCTCCTTGTATCCAGAACATGAGATCTAGATCCCTGATCCGTACCAGAGCTAGGTATTTCCTTCATAGGGCATCCGGTTGATTCGGATATTTCCATTTCTTCGGTAGGTTGAGCATTGTTATTTCCAATGTTCTCGGGACAGAGTGCTGTTTCCTCGGCATTGCCAGAATCACCCGCTGCTTGAAGCTGTTCACTAAATACATCATCATCTGTCTTCGAGCCAGAGAACTGACTACCTTGAGATGATTTCTCAACAGTGTCCCTCTTTGGAGATAAGAAACCCTTCCACAAACGATTCTTCTGTTCCCACATTCAGTGTAGCTTGATCATCTGACATTTTTGCTACTGGAGCTGTACTGAATATAGAAACATTGGTGTTATGAGTAACGTTTGTTGACATGGCAGTATTTTGAGATCCATCAACACTGACAGAGATATCCGCCATAGTCTTTTGTACGGTATTATAGCGGATACACATGTTATCAGTCCCTCCAGCATTTTCTGTATCACCTGATTCATCAGGACGACTCAATGTTAAAACTTCTGGAAGTTCCCGCTTCTTTGGAGAAGACTTGAAGATGGTGTTTTGAAGTTCACTTTTAGCGTGTTTCCTTTTCCGTTTCCTGTAGCTGACACATGAGATGAACTGCTTTCTGTGTTTGAACGCACCTTTAAACAAATGGTTTCGCTTATCAATAATCTTCTGCCTGTAGTTAACGTTAGATCTGCCTTTATATTTCAAACAAAGGCTCTTGTGCCGTGGAACTTTTTTCTGTGGCAGCTGAAATTTTTTTTCTTCATAGTTTGCACAAAAATGGTATATTCTCGCGTGCGAATCTTGAATCCGCTCTGAGTAGTTAGGTGTCCTGCCCTCGTCCTGCCAGTCAAACACATCTAGCTTATCTTCTTTAGGCTGGTCAGGGTCAAACACACCTAGCTTATCTTCTTTAGGCTGGTCAGGGTCAAAAACACCTAGCTTATCTTCTTTAGGCTGGTCAGAGTCAAACACACCTAGCTTATCTTCTTTAGGCAGGTCAGAGGAGAAAATTGGCTCGGAGCCACCAAACGTAGAGTTTTCTTCCTCCACTGGAAGCAGGGTCCTGCTTGGTTCTGCCTCAACAGCCTTCTTCTCATTCTCATCCTGCTCCTTCAGCTCTTTCTCTTCTATTTCCCTCTCCTCCTGCACTGTAGTCTCACACTCACTCACAGAGTCGTTGTCAGTGTCCTGCGTGTCTGGCAGCAGATTCCTACTCTTCAGTAGATTGAGATGTTCGAAAGTGAGCCGTTTACGAGTGACGATTATTCGGTGTTGTTTTGGAGCAAGCTTGTCAGGACTGAGTCTGTACCTCTTGGTGGGGGGAGGATCGTTATCATCTGATGAACTGTCAGGCGAGTCTGAGCTACTCTCCTCCTTCTCTTCAGAGCTACTCTCCTCCTTCTCTTCTGACAAAGCTTCCTCTTCAGACTCCAGGTCGCTCTGAGCGGAGTCAGACGAGAACTTTCCCGTAACAGGGGAGTCCCCCCTCAACCTCAACTTCTTGCCAATCTTAGTCTCGCTCTCTGACTCACTGTCATAAAAACTGGTGTTCAAGGAACCAGAACTCTCACAGTCGATCTCTAGGTCCAAGTCAAAGATGGCAGGTTGTTCATGATGAGGACTGCTCAAGCTCATTTCATACCTTCTGATCGGTTACCGTATGTCACGTGGAGTGAATACCTTCTCCTGATTAGTCACATCTACAGGGGATTAATATATTAAGCCAGGGGAACAGATTTGGGATATTGAAATTCAATGATAGATGCACACTTGTACAGTTTGTTGATACTTTTAATTAACAAATTTAAATTGGCACCAGATTTGAAAGTTATGAGATTGGATACTCATATTATTAGTTAACAACACGAATAAAACTCTTGGAATTAAAATGTCACTGCAGTAAAATATAGGCCACACTACAGATAAAAATGAAAACATTCAAATCTATAATTTAGGTCGAACTATAGCAGCTCTGAAAACTCGCTAACTAGTTTGCTGCAGAGATACATTAATCTCCCGAAGAAGGGAGACCTTTTTATAGGACCTAGTAACCATGCCAACAAACCTATCACTTTATAAAAAAAGGTGAAAGAATACGTTTCATCGTCAAAAACTTTTCATATGAAAATCGGGTGATATTTCTCTTAATTCACATTATCAACATCCTATATCTGAAGCTGGTATACATTATGCACGGATCTATATTATATGTGTTACGTTACACGTGTACTAGAAAATATAATAACTTTGGATTTTAGCTGTACAATTACAACTTTATAATTCAGATAATCCAATTTCTAGTTCTTCAGTTACCCATACTGGATATCAAATACAAGCCTAACAATCCTAATATGTAGACAGTACCAATAAAGTTTTTAGATTCGTAAAAGAGTAGTTTATTGTAAAAGCCATGAGCCAGCCTAAAATAAAGAATTTAGTCAAAATTGATAAGTTAACATATCATATCATTCCACCTAATATTTCTATCTCCAAGTTTTAGATATTATAAATTTCTATGTATTTCGTTTTTAACCAAAAATAATCACAACTGTGTGCATAGTAAAGATATCGCAGAAAGAAAGGTACAAATCGGACACACCATATTATAATTATTATATCTTTGAAAATAAAGTTTGGGTATTCAAACTGCAAAAATTCACCCCATCACTCACTTCTTTTTCGATAAAAAATATGGTAAAATACTGACGATAGATATGACTAGGGGCGGGTAGGCATTGCAAAACACCTGACGAATCACAACAGACCAGTGAGCTGCAGCTGCAACGTGCAGGGCCTCCCTCCCCTAGAAACAGCTACAACAAGGCCCAGGCAGCATTTCAACACTGCCCCGAATATACCTAACTCTAAACACAACGATATATTATTTTGTCCGTACCTGGTTTACGTAAGTAATATTTACATACACCCTATATAATGCATGTAAAACATGCGTTACTTTTGGTTAAACGACTAACAAATTCCTAACATTTCCTAACATACACTTTAAGACGGTCTACGCTATACAGAACAAGAACTTCTAAATTTTAACCTATTTTCGCAAATCATTTAATTTTAACTTCACAAAAAAGGATTGGACAGGCAATCTTTAGCTATTTGGCTATCAGCCAAATCATGATTCAATCAATCCAACAACCAATAATAGATACAATCCATATAAAACCTAGTTTTTAGAAGTTGATAAGAATGACGGTTTGACTGTACGAATATGGTGTTCAGTATGATAATACTCCTATAAAAACAACTGCACAGAAAACTGCGAACAATATTAACTCTATATAAGCTGGCGCAATACAGAGCGGTTCTTAAGAAAAACTTTGCATACAAACAAAATCCTGCCTGGCAGCTGCTGTACTATTCCTGTGAAAGCGATCAATGGGATCATAGTTGAGAATTTAGAACCTTTTAAGGCGCGAATTTTTTAGGAAGATGCAACTTAAATGAAGGATGCTACAAGGAAATATTTTCTTAAGGAAGAATGGGAAATAAGCAAGTTAGATATGAGGGATGATTTGGTTTCCTGATCTTTGTAAATGAAATAACGAATAAGCAGATAAGATAAGGGAATGTAGAAGAGATATCAGGGAGTTTAAAAGCAGCTGCCACTTTAACAAAAAAACATGGACTGCTGAGTGGGAAACCCAGCAGTACACATTCCTCAGCCTAGTCCTAAAGTGCCCGCTAATTTAACCTGGGCTTTATACGCGTGTCATATTGGTGATTCCAATAAACACATACAATAAGCTATCACGTGATACTTTCACGTGAAATGCGGTACATAAGAGAATCTTGAAAAAATAAGATCAGCCTGAATAACTCTCGAGTAAAACGCCCAAAGATTAAGATATACACATACGTATAAAACATTGAGCCGCCAACACAACTGGGATATGTTTTCAGTTTCCCACTTTTAATAGTGAAATGGTTAATGTTTTGCGTCCTGATTGTGTTGCCGTCTCCTGTGTAAATGCAGCCAATCTACCTCCAGCAGCAGACTACAGTTGAATAAACACTCCTTTTTTTGGAAAAAATAACTAAAAAGCAAACTTGATATCGACTGCTGCTGAATTTCATCTAAATATTCGTCAACTGGGCGACACCATCAAATGACTTACCCTTGACAACCGTATGCTTTAAAATACACACATCTTACCTCACGCTCTGTCGACCTCACGTGACGTCATGGCACGTGGTGTGACGTCACGTCACGAGGTATGACGTCACGTGGCGTAAGATAGTGTAACACACATATCTACTCAGGTGATGGTTAACTTTGACCCCTCTCCACGCAAAACACGCACATATCAACACAACAACTTCTCACTCAATAGCTAACCACCACCTCTTATATACACATATAACGGCCCCTCAACAACATCTCACACCAACACGTGCAGTGCAACACTGCGCGCTAAACACGTGCAGTGCAACACTGCGCGCTTAAAACGTGCAGTGCAACACTGCGCGCTAAAAACGTGCAGTGCAACACTTCGCGCTTAAAACGTGCAGTGCAACACTGCGCGCTTAAAACGTGCAGTGCAACACTGCACGCTAAAAACGCGACGTGCAGTGCAACACTGCGCGCTAAAAACGTGCAGTGCAACACTGCGCGCTTAACTTTCATGACAATTTGGGGAATAATCACTGCCATAATCACATCTGTGCAAAAGTTGACATGAATGTTGACACTCATATTCGCTTAATTCATGATGATATTTTGATGTGGAAAAAATTTACATAGCCTAATGGCTCCTTTGTAAAGTTGTTGAGAGGCCGCTATAAGACAATTGAAACAATATAAACAAACACAGCTGCTGTTGACTTTATCAACACTCTCTAGTTCTGTAACAACACCGGGGAGGCGATGCAGTGGTACAATTTTATTATGTATTGCTTACTACTGTAAAATTCATTTCATCAGATGTGGGCTTAAATTCCTTTCTAGGGTAGGACAGGTATTAAATAAAGCATTTCCAATGTTATTAGTATGTTGATTTTTGGAGCTTGTTAGAGCTAACATTTAGCTTTTAATTACTTGAGTTTTAGGGCTCCCCGATGCCATTACCAGCTTTCCTCGTTATTTTATCACAGATCAGAGGATAAGAAGCTTTAGTTACAAAACTGTTAGTGTCACACCAACATTCCCCCATTCTTTCCAAACATAGATACATTCCTTTAACTTATAACCCGGTCCTGCCATCACATCATGCGCATTTGCAGGACCGCAATCCAAACAAACGATCCATCTTCTGGGCAAAGCCAGCCGTCCACAGCTAACACACCCCAGTCCAACACGATTGCAAATTTACAAAGCTTTAGCTTCCGTATGGGAAGTTAACTAATTGAACACAGAATTTACATCGCGATTTGGGAGAGATGGGCGCAGCTGCAATTCTTTAAGTTCAACCTACCGACCTGGACATAGCCTCAATCAGAGGATATCTAGATCTTCATGCCAAGTCCTGAGCGAATAATCTCTCCTGTTCGCATTCAGTCCATTATTTGACTGAAATTAGTCGATTATACATTGTGCAATTTGTATTTCCCATCCAGCATAACACTTGTAACTTGAGATTGATGGCCTAAAATATAAAATCTCAGTCGTACGACTGTGCCTTTGCTAGATCAGCCTGCATCCACACTTTAACGGGTATATCCTGCAAGAACTCCGGTTGTTGGGAGAAGTGGTCGTTTTGTGGGGAGAAAGTGAAGGGAGGAGACTTCTGGTGGGGAGACAGTACACCGGACATGTGATCCTCGGGCTGCAGATACGAGATGTGGCTATCTTGACTCAGGGAGTGGTTCAATCTCGAATCTAAGAGGTGGTCGTTGTTGGAGATGAAGGGGGAGTGCGGCTCTTCGCTGTAAGGGAACTTGTGAGCGGAGGAACCCGGGAACCCGGGGGAGTGATCACTGGACAGAGTGTAGGCTCCACCCTGAGAACAGTAGATAGAGGGAGGGGTGCAGACAGGCTTGTCGAGGATGCTAGGTGAAGTGGGGATGAGAGGGGATCCGGTCATCACATCGCTTAGAGGAGGATGAGAGAGAGGGGGAGGGTTAGCACACGACTTCTTCTGTACTATGTAACGAGATGTAGCTTCAGTGGGATTGTCGTGCTCGATAAACTTGCCTTTGTAAACGCACTGCTTCTTCAAACATTTCTGCTTCAGCTTGTTTGAACCTCCGAATTTACTCTTGTCCTGAAAATAAATAGAGAATCGAATTACCGATCATCAATGTTTCTGATGGATACTTAAATTGCTCATTACAATCTCACATCTAGACAACATTGTCTAGATGTGAGATATTCACGTTCAAGTTCCTATTAAGGACGATCTCATTTAGTATTTGCGATATGAGACCATGTCTCTCCGGCCTGGCCATGCCAGTGCGCGCGCAGCAAATGCGCGCACAGCGCTATGTAGTCTGCAATATTTTTGCGGCGTGTTCCAAAAAATACAAGATTGAAGACCTTTTTAGTAGACCATGACGTTATGCGATGTGCCACTAAATTTTCATGGTCATATATAAACACAGGAAATAAATCTTTAGGTCACATGATTCTCAACCGTGAGTCAAGTTTATAATAAAGATAGCCGTTGCAAATATCTTTATCTGTATTTACCAACATTTAACTGAAAAATGCTATTGACTTAAATAAACTAATAATTTGGACATACAAAAGTCGATAACATGTAAGTTGACTATGTAAATAGCTTATTGCGTAGCACATATTGAAACCAATCACCAATCTCGCTCAATAAATATCTGAAAATTAGAATTCAAAAGAGCAAAACTCACCTTACAAAAGACACATTCCGCGCAGTCATCCGTTCTGAGGCAATTCACACAAATCTTACACATTCTCATAGCACCTCTGCCTCTTGTCGAACTCCCTGATTAAATGAAACTTTTACACTTTATTCAAACTACCACCACACATTTAATATCTTAACAAGGTCCCAACTATACTACGTCACTGCACCAAAGAACGTACCTAGCATATTGTAAGTTTTAATTTGATTGCGCAATCCGGTTAACTGCAGTTACATGGTTAAGAAGAGTTCTTAAGTCAGACTCTAAAATCAGAGCACTAGAATTTCCTGGGTGGGCAACTATTATCAATGTTAATTAAATCAGAGTCATTAGAATAGATGTATGCCAAGAAGTTGGCGTGAATCAAAGGTAATCCTTGTATTCAAACACTGACAAATCGAATCTAGATATTTCTACTATAAATAGATATTATTTTACCATATAGAGAAATGAAATATAGCTATGACTTTCCAGGAAAACTGATGAAGAAGAGAAATTACAAACAAAACAACGTGAAGAAACCTCTCTTGTTGATGTGTTCACGGCTATCTGAACTATCTAAGGATTTTGGATAACCGTTTACTGCACGGTAGTTAACTCGCGCCCTGATCCCTGGGTTTTGTCCACGTAGTCTTGATCCGCGACCCTGAGAAATGGTGCTTCGTGAGCAAAAATTCTATAACAAAATAAGCATTAGAATGTTTATAAAAGATGGGGATTTACTCATATACTGTTCAATTTAAAAACCACCATACTTCAGAGTTGCGGTCATGGAACGTTATTGAATAAACAATTTTATGTTATGAAATGGTGCTTCGTGAACAAATATTCTATATCAAAATAAGCCTTAGAATGTTCATAAAAGATGGAGATTTACTCATATACTGTTAAATTTAAAAACCACCATACTTCAGAGTTGCGGTCATGGAACGTTATTGAATAAACAATTTTGAACAATAGCGAAAGATAAACAATAATAAGCTCTACACGCGACTAAAATTATCAGCTACAGGAGGCTACAGAAACACAGGTACAATGGTAAACTGGTAAACTGGTACACTGGTAAACTGGTAAACTGGTACACTGGTACACTGGTACAGGTACACTGGTAAACTGGTAAACTGGTACACTGGTAAACTGGTACACTGGTAAACTGGTAAACTGGTACACTGGTAGACTGGTAGACTAGTACAGGTACACTGGTACAGGTACACTGGTACAGGTACACTGGTACATGTACACTGGTACAGGTACACTGGTACAGGTACACTGGTACAGGTACACTGGTACAGGTACACTGGTACAGGTACACTGGTACAGGTACACTGGTACAGGTACACTGGTACAGGTACACTGGTACAGGTACACTGGTACAGGTACACTGGTACAGGTACACTGGTACAGGTACACTGGTACAGGTACACTGGTACAGGTACACTGGTACAGGTACACTGGTACAGGTACACTGGTACAGGTACACTGGTACAGGTACACTGGTACAGGTACACTGGTACAGGTACACTGGTACAGGTACACTGGTACAGGTACACTGGTACAGGTACACTGGTACAGGTACACTGGTACAGGTACACTGGTACAGGTACACTGGTACAGGTACACTGGTACAGGTACACTGGTACAGGTACACTGGTACAGGTACACTGGTACAGGTACACTGGTACAGGTACACTGGTATAGATACCTGGTACAGGTACACTGGTACAGGTACACTGGTACAGGTACACTGGTACAGGTACACTGGTACAGGTACACTGGTACATGTACACTGGTACAGGTACACTGGTACAGGTACACTGGTACAGGTACACTGGTACAGGTACACAGATACACTGGGAAAGGTACGCTGGTACACTCATACATTGGAATTCTGTACTTTTACTATTTTCATAATGGGAGTTTACTCCCATTGAGCGAAAGATAAACAAAAAGCTCTACACTCAACAATAATTTCGTCCTATTCACTTGAGTGTTGACAGAGATTTCACGACGTATTTTCATAGCATTAATATACACATATATAATATATAGTTATTCAATGGAATATGCAAATCTTACTGACTTGACCTTGACAAACAATACAACTAAGCCCAGCATGGCACACTCTCCACTACTATAACAATACACTAATGTAATATACTGTAACTATATTAACTCTTTACTGCACACATGAGTAAACCGTATTGTTTCATCCAGATTAACGAAGTAACTATTACAAGTAATCTCCTTCCACAGTTCCACCCCCCCCCCCCCCCCCCCCTGCACGGTGGATACGTTACTCATATTGTGGGTGCCACTTTAATCTGGCTATCACTCTAAACGGAGTCTAGAGGGAGTCACACATTAACAGATATTCGGCACGTTCCCTGTTTTTATAGTTACACTACACAGGTGTTACAGGGGGTACAAATGAGTTAAGTACACTGGTACAGGTACACTGGTGCAGGTACACTGGTACAGGTACCAGTGTACCTGTAGTTACACTACACAGGTGTTACAGGGGGTACAAATGAGTTAAGTACACTGGTACAGGTACACTGGTACCTGTAGTTACACTACACAGGTGTTACAGGGGGTACAAATGAGTTAAGTACAGCCAATTCTGTAAAACACCCTGGCTTAACAGTGAGGGTACGTGAAAATGAAGTAATATAACATATCAGGTACTCCAACTGAAGTGTAATTAAATGAGTTTTATAAACAATGTAATGGGTAATATATCTCCTGAGGGTGTCACATTGTCCTACATCACTGTAAGGTCCTGAACCTTTCACTTTTCACTTCCTAGCACAGTGCTGTATAAATATTATATACCTTGACACCTTGCAGTGGGCTCTAGTGTGGATACTCTGTATGTACGTGAAATATAGCTCAAAATTAACTTATAATTTAGACACGATTACAGATCAGTAATTCGATTGGGTGAGCAGTTATATGAGGGTAGCAATAAGATTATTAGATTAGAAATTATTATAATGTAGTAGGGGAACAACTAAGCGCCAACTAAGCGTCAAATTCTGAAAGTAAGTTTAATTTCACCCACAACAGTAACTTAAAAGGAGATTGAACAGGATATTAGGATAATCTGATATCTGAGTTACTCATAGCTAGACATACCTTGTAATACACCTATTAAAAACTACAATAAAACCTACAACAATAGAACAATAGATGTGAATTCTGGTGGGGAGGCCTAAGGCATATGTTTTTAACACGTGACAGAAATAAACCCATCAGCTTCTAGTTTCTTATCTAAGGCCACCAATCACCATTGACCAATAAACCTCAAACACCATAAAACCAAAATTGTTATCAGATAATCTCTCTCTCTCTTTATTGATTTAAAAAGCAAAAGTGTGTTTAGAATGTAGGCGGAGAGAAGTGGTTATGGTAGATAGTTCATATAATTAGTGGTGTAGCAGTGTAACACAGCTAATAGTTGCAAGTGTACCGTACTGCACTGTATCTAATATAATAAGCATGCTTCCTGCTTCACATATACGTTACAATGAGTTACACATTATATTATATATTTATATATTAACTTATTTATCACTGCCACCCAACCCAACATCAAATATTTCATTTATAATAAGACAATAAATTAGTGATTGCTCAAACTATAAACAAGCGATCTTCACTACGTCAACTTCGCTAATTTCTTTATTTTCTCATTGATTCCTTGTCCTTACTTAATAAACTAAAGGCTTAGCAACAACAGTATTTTAAATTGAGTCTGATTTGGTCTAGTAGGATATTAGACCGTTCTACATTACATCTCTTTAAATGTCTATTGTAACATTATTATAAATATACTTAAAATCTAAATTAATACCGTAATATTGTATTGTTGATAATTTCAGTAGTTTAGGCCTTAGTTCACTATTTACAGAAGCAAATACTGACTTGTCTAACTCTTTAAAGTATAAATTGTTCATTAATTTAAATATATCTTACTATATATAAAGCGAGACGTAGACGATTATATATATGGATGGATGGATGGATGGATCCGTGCCATTTTACTGACACCACGGCATCAACTTTAACGCAACTTTCCGCAAAAACCGTAAAATATATACAACTGAAACTTTTTTGACTGGGTCAAATGCTTTAATGGCCTTCAAATCAGCATGAAAAAATAAAAAATAGGCCAAGGAATAAGAATTTGAATGCCCAAAATTTGGACCCCCAAGTGGTATCAAAAACGCGAATTAAATAGGTAATAATTATTTTAGTCTCTCGAGTCTTGACACCATTTTAGGGTTAGACGGGTTCCTGCTAGTGTACATAAATTATCTGATCTCAATTCTTATCAACATAGTAGATGGGCAATTAAATTTCATTCTGCTCTATTCTAATAATCCGATATTTTAAGCTATTTTTCTATCTTTTGATACATCTCTCGTATGAGATATTGCAGAGTACAGTAAAAAGCAAGGTACTCTAATAATTGCTATTGAACACTGTTCAGTAATAAGTTAAGATAATTTTCCCTATGGCTTTACCAGTCAGAGTTTCTATTTTTTAACAGTTACAAGATCGCAGCACTATCCTGACCACTCCAATGTCAAACGTTTACACTTTTTACTCAGGATGCCACGTGATACTATTTTTGTAACAACTCAGATCGTAATATCCTTACTCCTTTATAAAGCAAGCCAGATCGTAACATCTGGTTTCACTTGTGCACCAGATACTTAGCCCACACTTAGTGCTCCTTCATAAATTACTTTCCTTCATGGCCAGCTCTGGCGGATGTTTACCCGATCTTTGGTCCCTTAGCGCCCAGTATGAAGTTCCTGATTTATCTATAGTGTAATTGCGCTATTCTAAAAATAAAAGCTAAATATTGCACAATTAAGATGAGTATGACAACAGTTTGAGGATATAAGATCATCACATCACACACAATAACAAATATTCTACTTTCAAAAGTTTCTTACTCGTTTTTTCCCAGGGAAGAGAGCCCCTGCAGGGAAGAGTGAAGGGTCTATTGTTTTAGCGAGAGTAGATCTGTTCTTGCTGCCGCGCGGTCGTCCTCTCTTCCCTCTCTTCTCAATCCTCACAAACCCCTGTCAAATGTCAATGTTAAATCAGAGTTACAACTTGGATCAAAGATTTGCTTTCTTGGCTCAACCTCGAGACTAAACATCTAGACATAATGAAGTGAAGTGCAGTGTGATGTTGGCTTGGTAGCGATACGTCTGATGTGTTTTATGAAGAAGTAATATGGGAGCGCCACGTCTGTCTGGTGGAAGACAATGCTGTGAGTGATTTTAACTCAACACCTTGATCATTAACAAGGCAGAAACAATTAACATTCGCCATTCGGCGATCATCAAACGTTTTGCAGGGAGTAGCGGCGGGAGAGAGCGGTGGAGGGATGTGGATATGACGAAGTAATGCGGACTCACGTTAAGGTGAAGTGGTGTGGTGTCCCTGTGCAGCGAGGAGGGGTAGTCGTTGGAGACCAGGTAACCGGGCGAGGTGGCGTCGAATGAGAAGTGAGGAGTAGGAGAGGTGAAGGGAGAGACCAAGCAGTCGGAGGGCGAATGAACTGAACTCTTGTCTGACTTGTTGTTGGGAGAGCTGTACGGAGAGTCGTTAAAGTGCAATTGGAGCGGGGTTGAGACGAAATTGTTCTTGGTGTCGCTGGGCTGGTCCCAGGGCTCCTCCTTTATCATGAAGTTAGAGTCGTACCCTGAGGTTCCGTTAAGTCCCTCCACAATGCTCTCAGAAACACGGATATAAGAGGCAGAGGACTGGGAGAACTTGAGAGGAGGCTGAGGAACTGCCGTGTTGTACGGGGAACTGTAAGAGTAGGACCTGGCAGGTACTTCATAGCTGGAGCCGGTGTTGGAAGTCATGTTGAAGGTAGTGGTGCAGGTGGTACCTAGAGTAGAGGGTAAGCTAGCACCCTGGCAAGGTGCCAACAGGTCGTCTGGGTGCTGTTTGAACTCTCTGACGGAGGGAGGTACAGAGGAAACTGAGGAGTCGAGGAACTTGGAGCCGAATGTGGATAGTTTGGTGGACGAGTCAGGGTTGTATGCCATCGTGCTGGTTCAGAGTAGTGTGTTTTATGAAGGAGCAGTAGAGGACACGACACAGTCACGTTTTATCATATCTCATAGGACTGTGAGATTTCATCCAAAACCTTAGAACAAGTTTATACGTTAGTGTTAAATTATATGGTTAAAGTCGATTAATATTACCTGACACCACAAATAGGATGGATTTATCGGTAATTATTTTATTTCTATTTCTATAGAAAATAGATCTGTATTGTTAATGGTCTTAGAAATCTAAAAAATGTAGTTATCAAGATTGACAATCAAAATATAGAAATGGACAAAATCTTTCCAGATGAGAAAAACAGGAGGATAGAAAGTATAACTAATCTAAAGAGTGAATCTACACTAACATGTATTAAGAAGTTTTGCAGTTTACTGCAATTTTAGTTCTTTAGTTCTATTAAGAAGTTTTGCAGTTTACTGCAATTTTAGTTCTTTAAAAAAGTTATGATAACACTAAAACTAGACCAATTCTAAATCTAGACTTGTTACTTTGAGTATCTACGAGTGGATACGGTGTAAGATAAGTATGATAGTCAAGTCATGGTTAAACATTGTCAAGTATTCATGCTCTATCCAAAATTTTAGTTGGCTTTTAAATTAGTTGACAGCTAATTTAGTCGCATTTGATTAGTTCAGAAACATTTTAGTCAAATATTTTAATTTATTTTTAGTAGACTAATTATTCGGTTCTGAATGCAGTTAATTCTTTGTACCAAATAAAGCCAATATAGCCACCACATTTTTCAGAAAACCTTCTATCAGATTAAGATCTGGAAAGCAAACAAGTTAATTTACCACAAGCATAAATGCTGATTGTTAATTTCCATTCAATGCTATTATGTGGTACAATTTACCCGTTTTATATACAATTTTAGGTTATGGTTGCTTGTTAAAAATAATTTGATGAATTTTGTCCATCAAAAAGTATGTCCATCAGAGAAACTGTGTGAAAGAAATTAATTTAAGGCAGCTAATATGAAATGGCTTTTTACTGTAAAAATAATCATAAATGTTAAATGCTTATAATCAGTCTATCTAACGACCCCTGAACCCAGTACAGTAGAACCTTTACTAGGCCTCTTCTTTTCCCAAACTTTTTAATCTATTAAAAATGTGATACACTCAAAACAAAACAAAAAAGTTTATAATTTATTATATACCCAGAATTTCTAGATTAATTTTGCACCCAGATAAAAGTGAGATCACAGAGGGATCTTTGATATTATGTTCTATGGTATAGTGCTGCTGCAAATTATTGGAAGATACTACAGTCAGTGGCGTAACGTTGCCTGTTGGCGCCCCCCTGCCGAAAAAAGCGCCCCCCTGTTGGCGCCCCTCCCCTTTTGGTGCTCCTCCCTAAAATTGAACAAATTAGGTGATTTTAGAGAATACGCCGGTAAAATCTCTAAAAAAGTGTGTATCTAGAGCAAAACGCGCAGTTTTGCTAGTACTTTAGTTAAGTTTTCGAAATTGTCCCACATTCAAACGACGATTTGGCGCCCCCCTAAGACGGCGCCCCCCTGCACAGCGGGGTCAGCAGGGCCTTTCGTTACGCCACTGACTACAGTTTCTGCAAGCTCCAGTAATTTAGGTAAGGTTGTCGGATAGGCTAGGAGAGAGCAAGTGGATACAAATGATTGGATATAAAATCAATAAATGTTTTTGCCATGAAACGGACCAAACTGATCCTAACTCATATTCCACTCATCATAGCATATCGCTTCAGCATGTACAAAGGGCATAACCTCAATCAGTTTAATGTAGTGAAATGACTGGTGTGAATGAAGTAGTGTACTAATACAAGTTGGAGAGGATCAGGTAAGCTTAGTCAGCATCCATGATGTTACAAACCCTCTGGGACATTACTGCGCCCAGTCTCCAAAGTTACAGTAAATTCCTACTACGGACAAACAAACACAGACAAAACACCAACAAGAAACTGATATACACTAGCTAGCTCAGAGAGGAAATGAGTACCGGCTCAGGAGGTATGTCAAAACAGGGCGCCCTTTCGAACACTACTCGGGCTAGAATCAGTGCAATTCGGACACTACTATGCAACTGAACCATGCAAAACTATATAAGTACACCTATGCTGGCAAGGCAATAGGTCAGACTGCCAGTCCTGAAAACCAGTTCTATGATAAGGGTCACGCAAGCCCCGAAGGGTTAATACAAAATCAATAAATGTTTTTGCCATGAAACGGACCAAACTGATCCTAACTCATATTCCACTCATCATAGCATATCGCTTCAGCATGTACAAAGGGCATAACCTCAATCAGTTTAATGTAGTGAAATGACTGGTGTGAATGAAGTAGTGTACTAATACAAGTTGGAGAGGATCAGGTAAGCTTAGTCAGCATCCATGATGTTACAAACCCTCTGGGACATTACTGCGCCCAGTCTCCAAAGTTACAGTAAATTCCTACTACGGACAAACAAACACAGACAAAACACCAACAAGAAACTGATATACACTAGCTAGCTCAGAGAGGAAATGAGTACCGGCTCAGGAGGTTGGATATAAATATAATCTTTTAATCTTTCCCATCTTTTCAGAAATATCATTGTAATAAACATAATAACATGGTCGCATCTTGTGGGCCTGGATTGGATGAGAATTATATACTCAATCTTGGTTGATTTTGGTGCACCTGCTTTACCTTCCAGAGGAGACTAAAGTTCAGAAACTTGCCCCAGAGGCTAAAGAGTGACTACCACAGTGACTGTTCATTAGGAAGATGTATTCCAGAATCCAGGAGTCCTGGACAGTCTTAACATTAAAAGAATTATCACCTTTAAAGTTGGATTGGTCTAGAATAGGACCCTGCTAATGACCACTTGAGAAGACTTGGGCCTTTTTCTTTAAAATGAGCTGATCAAATCAAATCAAATAAAAAATAATGAAACAAACATCATCACACGTCATCAAAATATTTCTACATTCATTTATAAATCAACCTAAAATGCTAGGTACAAAGACCCAGTAAAATTGTAACCAATTATGCTTTCCGCTACTATATAAGTTGATACAAAATTGTTAGCAATATCAGGATTATACCTAAGATATTCATTGTGTGTTTCTTTAAATTAGAATTAGAATTAGAATTAGAATCAAATTTACACAGCAATACAATAAGAATAAAAAATAATTTAAGAAGCTTCAATCTGCTGTGCAGGACATTCAAGTCAGTCGAAATTAATAACATAATTGGTTTCCTCAATTCTCCCCATTATAATTACTTCCCAATCATTCCAAAAATCCTTCAAAAATCCTTCTAATTATTTTACTTAGAAACAGAAAAAAATTGTGTCATAAGTCCGAAAAGTTCTAAAGAAAGGGTTTGATATTTGTTTTGGATTGAATTATAAAATAGTGTCAAAAGTTCTTAAGTAAGGGTTTGATATTTGTTTTAAATTGAGTTATAAAATTTTGCAACTGCAACACAAATGAATATTCAATAATTTAGATACCTTACTCGTTTATATCATGGCAGGTTTAATACTAAAAGTATGGCAGGATGCCCAAAAAACCGCCACAATTAATGGTCATGATTTTAACCGTGATCTGCGACTGACCCTTTCTTGGAAGTCACTGATTAGCACAGGAAAATTACTGATTTTTTTGGACTGGTTTTGGAGTTTGGCACCATTCTTGGTTCAATTCCATTTGGTATTCTAATACTAGTCGATCAAATTAATCAGGAGCTGCAAAATAAAACAAACATTCAATGTATAGTAATTTGCACTTGTAGGAGGAAAATGTTATTTTTTATCTAGGACTATACGATAGGAAGAAACTTTGAGCAGCGGGTAATATTAGACCACTAAATAATGTCTAATTGGTGCCTGTCATGTTTTAAAACGATCCTATCATGTAAACCTCATGAGGAGAAGAGGATAAAAGTTTGAAAATGGTAATTTTTTGGTGAATTGTGCTGAAAATTACATACACACTGACCTTATAGATCCATAACTTTGGCCAGGATCAATATTTTTAATGGAATAAAAAGCATCTTGCAGATCTTACTCTCCTCTTTCAGAAAACATCAATATCCATGATCACATTAATGTGACCACCAGCCCCTTAATAAAGTGATTCAGCCAAAAGTCAGGGGGGACCCTTGTGTTCGAGCTAGAAAATTCGAGAAAGACAATTTTTCTTCTAAAATCATCTATTTGGTACTAAAAGATTCGTCTTATCAAGCTGATTACGATTCTGTAAAAATTATTTTTTTTTAAAACTGATACTTTTTGAGTTATAGGCATTTTAAGCCTTAAATCTGCCATTTTTGGCCCTTTTTTTACATGAGTTTTACTAAGTCCTTTGAGGCCAGATTTCAAAAAAGGTTTTGGTGTATGTCCCCTTAAGTGATTACTGCAAGATAGGTTTCAGTTCTGGAATTATGGTGGCTCAATCTGTGAAGCACTCCAGATGATATGGTTTACAGTGCACAAAATTAAAGGATCAATTGGTATCAGGGCAGCTTGTGTGGGTGTTTGGGTGTCAAGATGCACCCACATTACTCAGCCAACCAAATACACATGCAAGTAAAGTACTGTGGGTTTCAGAAACACCCCAAATCTCAGAATTTGTGTGTATTTTGCAACAGGGGCCTGTGGCTCGTGAAAATGGTTTGATATTTGTTATTTGAAGCAAGGTGGGTTGAGATACACCCACCTTTTTTCCCTCCTAATTATTGAACACCTGCTTGCTGAAATGCTGATGCTTAACGCCTGCTTGCTGATGCTTAATGCCTGCCTAATACTCTGTAATTTGTAGTGATCTGTGAGAGTTAAGAAAAACAACATTTTTTTAGTCTGGCGAGTGTTACTTGGACATGTTTAAAGTTCATTTTTTCGACGGCAAAATCTCTTCTGGTCTTGCTTTTGATACATCCAGAACTTATCTAGCCCCCAAAATATCGTCCGAAAGCTAAAACACCCTACCCACGAGCCGCCTCTGATTGGCATAGCAGGACTCCTGACCATCCTAATAATACATTCCATTAGTACAGTCAAATACGTCTTTTTGTCGGACAAAATTCGCAACAAAGCGATTTTAACGGGATATTTTCG